CTCATTTTTATCATCAATAAGAGTACAAACGGATAAAATTTTAATTTATGCAAGCTTTCGAGTTCAACTTTCAGCTGTCAAACTGTCAACTTTCTAACCAAAGGAATTTTATGGACTTTTTTAAGTAGCCAATAAAAAAACGAGAAAAGCTATTGACAATGTGCGCGTCATTTTTAATAAAATTCACTTATCTTTGTTTACCTCTTTTCCTCTCATTTATTTTCGGCATTTGATCATTTTGTGGTTCCGCAGTAAACTTTGAAAATGTAATGACGAAATTTATCATCAATAAGAGGACAGACGCATAAAAAACTGACGTCAATTTGNGGGGCGCAAAGGTACCATAGTTTCCATCTCTTTGTGTCTTGACCCAAACTCCAATCGTTCTTTGAGGTTGGGGGCGTGAACACAGCTGACATTTCATGTCAGGTTTAAACAATTCATCACGTTTTTGTTCACGTCCGCAAGACCTGATTTGTTCAGTGCAAGCATAAGTTTTCGTATCGTTGCTTCTTCTCCGTTTTCCTCGCACCATCTTTCTAGAGCCTTGTAGCAACGTTCTTGGTCATCTTCCTCTTCTACTGAAATCGTTTTAATTCTCCCCCTATTGAGGTTTAGTTCTCTCGCCAGATTTTTCCAACAATGCCCAACCTCTTCCGACACAGTGCGGAGCACGTCGTTATTTGCTATGAGTGGTCTGCTCACTGCATTCCTACCTAAACAGAGTAGAAAAACATGCATATATAGTCGAAACTTAAGAGGTTTCATTTGCATATTTCTACGACGCTCCTCTTTCACTATGTCATCACTTAAGAACTGCTACAAATTGCAAATGGGTTGGATCTAAGTTGATTTTCTCGTAATGTACATGTGACAACTGCGCATATGCGCAATTCACTGCGTGTATGGAAATGTTAAAAAGATGGAGGCTCTCCTCTTTTGCCTCGAAACGTAGACTGAATAGACTGATACGTGTATAATTAGCCATCTATCTTTCGCCATCAAGGAAACCTACGTTTTCATGACGTATCTGTGAAAACTTTAGAGAGCAGTCAGCAAAATCAGTCATTCCGTTAGAGGGCAGTCATGCCAGGGAAATCAATCATTCTGCGAAATCAACTTTCATGGCAATTTTGGAAGTAACCACAAGGGCCTGGCTGACTTACAGGCCTCTCTGAATTTCCTTGCATCTCTTTAAGGACGGTGCCTACTTTTGTTAGTGCGCACACGTTCTGCGCATCACTCAAGCCATGGTTTAAGCGCCACGCGCGCGCTGGGGTTGACATTGACGCAATCAACTACGCTATCACGTACACGACTAAAATGAAAGCAAAATTTTCATACTGTGACCAAAACAAGTTTAATGAACCTGTACTTAAGGTCATTCCTCAGTATTGCATTGCGCATCCCTACTGCGCATAATTTCACGCGTGATTAGCGCGCGCGCTTTAAAAAATGGCGGCTTTTTCTTT